AACACACATGGTAGAAGGAAAGAACTGCCTCCTACAAGCTCTACTCTAGTCTCCACCCACATACCTTGGCACGCTCAAGTATACACACCTCCATGCACGCAAACACGCACACAAACACGCACACATAGACACACACACAGGCAATGGTAATAAATACTCTGCCTACTCTAAAAAGCTTGCAAACACGCTGAGGAGATTAAACTCACGGAGGAAAGTTAGTAACATCGCTTTCTGAGAAATGTGATCCTGAGCTGGGGTGGTGCACACTTGTAATCTCTACTCCCAATATTGAAATGCTAAAACTGGGAGATTGAGAGTTTGAGGCCCGTTTGGGCTATTTTGCCAGAGTCTCCACCTCAAAAGAAAAGAGAGGAGAGGAGAGAGTTGGGAAGGAACGTGGTACAGTGATGTCCACCTGTGATCCCAGCACTTGGAAGATGGGGGTTAGGAGGATCCGGTCAAGATCATCCTTAGCTACATAATGAGGTGAAAGCCAGGGTAGCATACGCAAGACCCTAAATCCGAAAAAGAAAAGAAAAATATTTTACACATGTACATACACAGCAGTCAAGAGAGGAAGAGGGGCCAGAGAGATGACCGGGGCTGGAGAGATGGCTCAGTGGTTAAGAGCATTTGCTGTTTTTAAAGAGGATCCAGATTCAGTTCCCAACACCCATGTCAAGCGGATGACAACTTCCTGTAATTCTAGTTCCAAGGAAGCTGATATCCTCTTCCAGGCTCTATGAGAACCTGCAAACATGTGATGCACAACACATATTCACACACACACACACACACACACATACACACACATATGTGTATGCATATAAAATAAATTTTAAAAGAAAGAGGGAAGAAACTTGAGCATCTATCAGCAGAAAGATGGACAAGCAACAGGATCGGAGTGTTATTTAGCAGGGCAGATAATTCTCACACGTGCTAGAACACTGATAGACTCTGAAGTCAGATGCACTAGACAAGTCACAAAAGACAACAGTGTATGATCCGGCTGTAGTGGAGCCCAGGGAATCAGAAAGCAGAAGCAAGACTGGCGGGGCTGGAAGAATTTCTGACAACAGATACAGAGTTTCTTCTGTTTTGCAAGATGACAAGTCTGTTTTGTTTTGCTTTTGTTTTTGCATATGATGCTACTGGACCCAATACTTACTAGCTAAGATGAAACATTTCAAGTTACAGTGTATTTCTTTATAATTTAAAAAAAAATAAAGAAATAGAGTGTTGAGCTCACAAGGCAGCACACACCTCCTGTCATTCAAGTACTCAGCAGACTGAGACGGGGATCAGGAGTTCAGGAATACATAGCAAGTTCACAATCAGTCTGGGATATCTCAAACAAACAAATGAACAAAACATACAGTTTTGAACAGGAAATATTTTTTTCTAAGTAGGGAATCAGCATATGCATAGTAAGTGAGGTTTTGGGGTTTTTTTTTTGTTTGATTGGTTGGTTTTGTTTTTTCGAGAACAGGGGTACTCTGTGTAACAGCTCTGGCTGTCCTGGAACTAGCTATTGTAGACCAGACTGGCCTAGAACTCACAGAGATCCGACTGCCTCTGCCTCAAAGTGTGTGTCACCACCACCCAGCTTGAGTTTCTTTTTAAAACTGAGTGTCTGGAAACATGAACCCATGGCAGTCATATGGCAATAGCTGAGCTGCAGCTGAGGGTCCACTTCGAGACAGATGACCTGGGCCATACTTCAATGTAGACCTTACCACCTTCATTTTGTAAATAGAGCCTTTCCCACAGCATCCTTTTCAAAGCCAGCTAATATTAACTTTTCTAGAAATTGTGAGCTGTTGCTGTGTTTTCCCTGCTTACTTTACAGCCAGTGTGTGGACTTTTCAATCTGCTACTCCCTCCACAGCCTGTGCAACTCTATCATGGGGTTGAATCACTCAGAAACCTTGTCGAAGTTGCTACAATTACAAATTATTTGGCAATTCCTCGGAAGCCTTCATCTAAGCCCACGCTTTCTCAGTGCAGTAGGAAGACGTCAGAAGGGAAATAAAATTATTGTCTCATGACTTCTGGGGGAAGTCACGGCCTGAGAGAGCTAAGCTTGGGTTTTGAGATCATCATTTTAGGCCCACCATGGTCCCTACTTCACTGCTAACAGGTTTGATGAAGTGAGCCAGTATCTCTCCCACAACACAAGGAAAATATCTCTCAAGTGTTCATCTCAGACACATCTAGCTAAGAGCCCAAATACATGAAAATGTACCCCCCCACACCCACACACACAGAGTGCACAGGTGGCTATATGCTACTTTGAAAAAGGATCCTGCCTAAGAATTTGTGCTTGGGGCTGGAGATAGGGCTCAGTGATGAAGAGCACGGGTTGCTCTTCCAGAGGACCCGGGTTCGATTCCCAGCATCCACATGGTAGCTCACACTTGTCTATAATTCCAAGATTAGGCACAGAAACACATCAGGCGAAACACCAGTATACACAAAATAGAAATAAATTATTTTAAAAAAAGAATTTGAGTTTGATTCTGGGATTACAGATCTAAGCCTAATAATCAAAAGACTGATTCCCCTGTTGACACACATTCATGCACAGCCAACCCTCGGTATGAAAGGGCTTCTCAACCTTGGGGATGTGCAGGAGAGGCGATGCCCACACATTGTCTGTTTGTGATATATTTGTTGCTTTCCCAGCATCTACATACGTCTTACAATGGACCTGAGCTACCATCATGTCTGCTTTTTGCTCAGGAAGAAAAAGCAGTGTATCCCATAGGCTTAGTCATGGGTCCATGGAACACATACCCATCCTTTCCAAGTTTCTTCCTTTATTTCATTGCTGGATGTTAATTGTATAAAATAAGGGGTTTTGTTGTGATATTTTCTTACATGTTCATAATGTTCTTGATCATCTGTATGTCTTCCTTTCTCATCTCCTTCCTTCTTCCTGCTAGTTCCCTCCTCTTTCCAAACAGAGGTTGGGTTGTTTGAACGCTATTGTTATTTGAGTTTTGGGCTTTTGGGTTTTAGACAGAGCCTCATGTAACCTATGCAGGCCTCAAATTCACTATGTAGCTGAGATTGGCCTTGAAATCCTGATCCTCCTGCTTCAAATTCCCAAATGCCAGGGTTATAGACCTGAGACACCATGTTTTGCTAGAGACTGAACTGGTTTTTGTTTTTAATCCATGTTTCTGCTAGCATTAATCAGTTATACACAGTAATGGATTCCATTATGCTATTTTTATACATGTAAGTGATGCATCAGCCAAACTCACCCCATTTCCCTTGTTCCCAATCCTCCCCCTTTTCTAAACAACACTCCTTCCTGTCTTCTGGATCCCTTCTGGTGATAGTCTTTCTTTAGGGCTATTAATAGGATCACAGGTACCTTGCCAGAGGCGATACCACTGAAGAACTCAGCTCTTCCTGACCCATCAGCCATTAACTGCAACTGCGTCTACATCCCCAGGTGAGGCCCCAGGAGCCTCTCTCTCCTCCACGATAGGGTGCTGATGTACCCAATCTAGTGCAGGTGATCACTACAGCTACATAAGGCCCAGACATCAGCATTCCACACAGCTCTACCACTTCCTCACATGCTCACATATTGTCCATTCCTGCAGTGTTTCCTGAGCATTGGAGCTCATAACATAGATCTCCCCTTTGGGGAATGAGCATTCAATAGTCACTCATTCTTAGGACCGTGACCAGTTATGGGTCTCTACAATTATAACCGGCCACTTTAAAGAGACATGTCCCTGACCAACCTGATAGCAGCACCACTGACCTATGGGGTACACACAGTTACTGAGAAGACAATTTCACAGGTATATTATAACCATTTAACAAAACAACAGCACCACTTTCCCTGCTCTGACCTATGACCCAGCTGCAAGCTTTAGACCAGGCTTCCTGTGCATTTCTTCCTGGGGAGGGGCCTTAAATCTACTCACAAAGCCGCTGGTTGCCTCCCTAACAGACTTACCACTGGTAAGCCGGAGGGTACAACTTGTTTGGTCAGTTGGCCTGTGCAAAAAGGACCCATCATTAAGACTGTTGATACAACTCTCCCTCAGGAGCCAACAGAATACTTTCCAGTCCTATGAGTACTGGCCAGCTGGGGGAAAGTTTTCAACTTGGTTCCAGTTTGCTTTCTCTGCACCTTGAAACCAGGGAGCGCAGCGAGACTGAATTGTTCTGATTGAACAAGGAGAAAAAGAGCCACTGGAGGCAGGTGCAGCGGGGCATGCCTGACACACGGCTGGGAAGGTTGAGGCCACGGGAGCAGGCGGTCATGGACAGTTTGGGCCACGTAGTCAGGTTGGTCAGGGACACGTCTCTTTAAAGTGGCCGGTTATAATTGTAGAGACCCATAACTGGTCACGGTCCTAAGAATGAGTGACTATTGAATGCTCATTCCCCAAAGGGGGATCTATGTCATAGGCTCCAATGCTCAGGAAACACTGCAGGAATGGACAATAAACACACACCACAAATAAAAGAAAGAAGGAAGGGAAGGGAAAGGAAAGGAAAACCTTGATTCTTCCTGCTGCACGTGACGAGAGAGAGAGAGAGAGAGAGAGAGAGAGAGAGAGAGAGAGAGAGCCAGGAGTCCTGATGTCACCCTGGGACCCCCACAGAGAGTTGCTTGAAAACTAGGTCAAGGTTGAGCCACCAGAGCAGCACAGGAAGGAGCCTCTACCCTGCGTTCTCTGTTATAGGAACCTACAAGCCTTCTGCTTATCTCCCCCCTACCCCGTGTTGAGTTAGACTTTTGGTTATCGAGAACAGACAGAATGTCAATCAAAAACCGACACCATGTAGCTTCACTCCACCGGACTCTCGAATCAGTGTCTTCCCCAGAGTATTTCCATGACATGATCTGAAGCACGGATCATGTCAGCTTCAGCCAACGGAGTTTAGTTCAACTGAGAAGATCCCCTCCTCTCCCTTTGCTCTTCGGTGGTTTGAAACAGGGTCTCATGTGTTCCAGGCTGACCTCGCATTTGCTGTGCAGCCAAGGATGCCCCTCACCTCCTGATCCTCCTGACTGTACCTCCTACACATGCTGGTGTGCACCGTCACACCCAGGGAGACATCCCCAATATTTCTATCAGTGTGGATCAAGGTCATAGAAACTAATTTTCTTTTGTTATAGAAAATGCTTTTTAAACAGGGGTAGGGGTAGAGATGTTGACTTAGTATGAGAAAAGAAGATGTGTTATTCTCCGAAGACCCAAGGAAGGGATTGGAAACGATGAGTTTCGCTACTTGCCTTTATTAGGTATCGTCTATCTGATTGTTAGAAATTATTCATTTCCTCAAAGAGAGAATAAATTGCCTGGGGATGCAGCCCTGCTCTGCAGTCTTCCTTTGCTGAAGGCCAACACCGAAGGCTTCAGAATCATGAGGGTGCTTCTGCACTGGAGTGTTCTAACTCTCGCCTGTGTCTGGGCCGTCGCTATGGAGATTCCCATGAGCACGGTGGTAAAAGAGACCTTGAGCCAACTGTCCACGCACCGAGCTCTCCTAACAAGCAATGAGGTAAAGTATGACTCTTATTTCTGCGGTTTGGTTTGGTTTTCAAGATAGGGTCTTGCTATGCAGCCCTGACGGACCTCAAACTTGCTGTGTAGACCAAGCTGTCCCTGTTCCTAGGAGATCCTCTTGCCTCTGTCTCCAGCCTCTACAGGGTCTTAAAAATGCCTAATAGCTGGGTGTGGTGGTGGTCGCCTTTAATGCCAGCACTCAGAGGCAGAGGTGCAGGTGGATCTTTGTGATTTCAAGGGCAGCTTGGTCTACACAAGCAAGTTCCGGGCCAGCCAGAGCTACACAGTGAGACCCTAACTCAAAAAAAAAAAATTTTTTTTAAAAAAGCATTAATAATTTATGGCAGTTCATTCCCACACATGAAGATGTTATAAATAATGCAATTATGAATGTGTTACTGCACAGGGGATTACTGTGTCAGACCAAGCACAGTATTAAAACAGCCACAAATGCTTTAGAAATGACCTTATGCTCTTTCCATTGCAGACGGTGAGGCTTCCTGTTCCTACTCATAAAATTGTAAGTTAAGTTATGCTTCAGCGCCATGATTGCATGAATAAGGTCACTCCACACAGTAATCTACATGTCATTTGTTGCTTTGTGGTGTTGTGTCTGGGTGGGCATCTCACCAGTTTCCAAGCTCCAGGGTTCGAGTGATCCTCTTGCCCCAGCACCAGTAGCTGGGACATGGGCCTGGACCACCACATATAGCTAATCATTCGTTTTCAGTTAAAACTGTGTGATTTCCTTTGACATTTGTATTGTGGGTGAATGTGGAGGCATGTGCTTATAAATATGAAGACTAAGGGACAGAATGGCAAATGATGTAATCCCAGTGCTTGAGAGCCTGAGGCAGGGGCAGCATGAGTCTGAGGCCAGCTTGGGCTATATAAACTCAAAGCCTACCTGGATTACACAACCAGAAACTGTAACAAAAGACAACAAACAAACACGAGCAGGTTGGAGATATAGCTCCATTGATAGGGTGTCTCATGTACACAAAGCTTTGGGTTCACTCTTCAGCACCCCATAAACTAGGCATGGTAGTGCATGTCTGTAATCTCAGCAATTGGAAAATGCGAGCAGGAAGACCAGAGGTTCAAGGTCATTTGCAGTCAAATATTGAGCTAGAGGCCAGCCTGGTCTATGAGACACCCAAAAGCCATTAACCAATCAATATCAGGAATGCCTTTGAGCTAGCAGAATCTGTTACGTATGTGGTCAAGCGAAGCTGTCAGCCCTCCATCTAGCTAAGCCTCACATCAAAGATTCGCTGCATGATTCTACACTTGGCAAGAGGTCCTGCTAGGCTCTGTTTGGTTCTGCCTATGACTTTCTTCACCCCAGTGCCTTTCTTTGTTTTCCTTTTCTTGCTTTGTATTACTGAGGATCAGCCCAGGGCCTGTGTGTGCAGGATAAGCACTCTACCAGTGAGTTCCAGACCCAGCCCACTCTAATATCTTTCTGAAAGATAACTTAAAGATATAATATAGGGTTAGATTCCTTTTATTTATTTTTATTTTACGTGTATGAATATTTTGCCTGCATATATGTATATGTTCCACACATGTGTTTGGTGTCCCCAAAAGCTAAAACAGGACACCGGATCACCTGGGACTGGAACTACAGATGGTTGTGAGAAGTCACCACATGGGTGCTGGGAACTGAACCTGCACCCTCAGCAAGAGCATCAAGTGCTCTCAACCATTGAGTCACCTCGCCAGCTCAGAGGGCTATATTCTTAGGCAATGATTGGTAGACATAAAAAGTATAATGAATCCCTCTATTAGTAACTTCTACACGGTTAAATGGATGTGACTAACAATGATATTGTACACATTTGTATGTATATGGATATATATATATATTATTCTAGTGTAAAATACATTATTTAATTATTCTAAATAGAAAGGAATCACCAACCTAAATTTCAAAAGAAATATTGGGCTGGGTGTGAGGCCGCTCACCTTTAGTCCCAGGACTTAGATGGTTGTGAGTCGCCACAAGGGTGCTGGGAACTGAACCCAGGTCGTCTGCAAGAGCAGTCAATGACCGTAACCACTGAGACGTCTCTCCAGATCAAAGCCTAACTTTGGTTCTGATTTTCCTTTTTGAAACAGACCCAACAGCACTGGCTGTCCTCAAGCTCTACAATCAGGGGCTAGCCTTGGTCTTGATCCTCTTACCTCCACCTCCTGAATGCTGGGATTACAGATAAACCCCACTAAGTCTCGGATGATCTGCCTTTTTTTTTTTTAACACTGATGCATTTTAGTTGCACGCATTCCTTGCACATAGCATGATATTTTGAAATATGTGTATTTTGTGGACTGGCTGATACAGCTAGTGCTTCGCCTTGTTCCACTTGGCTTTTGATAACCTTCCTCTTTCAGCACCAGCTGTGCATTGGTGAAATCTTCCAGGGGCTAGACGTGCTGAAGAATCAGACTGTTCGTGGCGGTACTGTGGAAACGCTATTCCAAAACCTGTCGTTAATAAAGAAATACATTGACCGCCAGAAAGTAAGTTTCCCGGGATCCCTGCGGGTCCGGCGGCACCTGCTTCCCCAGGAGCTGATGACAGTCTGTTCATCTCTTCTTTTCTCAGGAGCGGTGTGGCGAGGAGAGGCGGAGAACACGGCAGTTCCTGGATTACCTGCAGGAGTTTCTTGGTGTGCTGAGTACAGAGTGGACAATGGAAGACTGACACTGAGCTGGCTCCGCGAAGACAGGACTTCAGATTTGATTTGCAGTTAATTTTTTTTTAAACTGATGCATAAAAGCCACAAGATTGGACAAATTAAGGGTTCCCACACACTGTGTCCACTCATAATTACATCGTGTAGTCAAGTTAAACCTATCTATGTTCTCAAATACTGATCATTTGCATATAACAAAATATTTAACATTCTTTTCGTATATGTGTAATAGGGACTCGTGTAGTTCAGGCGGGGCTCAACTGAGCTACATTCCCTAGCCCTCACCCCCTTTCTGGAGACTCAGTGTATAGTTAAGGGTGACTCCGATCCATTCAGAAGAAGGAAGATCACACCCCCCCACACACTCCAACATCCTTTCTCCTGGCTGTCTGAGACAGCCTGTAGCTCTCTTGATGGGGACTACCACACCAGGGCTTCCTGCTCCCGTCTAACTTCAGGGTAGTGCCCATTAGCCAGCCTCTCCTCAACTCCCTGCTGTTCTCTCTAGTCTCCAGCAACCCCACTCTACTCTCAATTTCTATGAGGTTAACTTTTCTTATATTCTTATGTATGAATCCGATTGTGTCAGGATCGTCCTTCTGTGCCTGGAGTACCCAGATACTGGAGAAGGAAAAGGCCATCTCAGTGCAGTGAGAATGAGAGCCAACCACATGTTGGACCTTGCTTCTCAGGGTAACTGAACTATAGAAGCAAAGTAAACGCTCTGTGTATACTGCAACTTTACTAGCCCACACAGGCAGAAAGCACCAAATGCTTGAGATGTGATTCAGGCTTCTGGGTCACTGAAGCAGCCTCCTCTAGTTTACTCCAGGAAAAATAGATGTTTGCTTTTATTTAATTCTGTAAGATGTCCATATTATTTATGATGTGTTTGAGGATTCAGTAAGTTAATATTTATTGCAATTTATGCGATATTCTAATAAAGCCAAATGTGCAAATCTCAATCGGCTTGCTACTGGTCTTTTCTAATGCTGGAGGTGTACAGTCTCCATGCATGATGTTCAGAGGACGGTCTGAGGACATGCTGGCTGAGCACCCTAGCTCCTTAGAGTTTCTGGGAGTTCCAAAGATGTAGGTGACCCAGCAGGACTTGGTAGAGATATTAGGAGCAGGGACAGGGGCTGGGTCTGAGCCTGGATCTCCCTGCATGAACTGTATGACTAGATGAGTTGAGTCTAATAGCAAAGGAATGAATGAGAGGAGGAACAAACGGGGAAATGCCTGCTCTGGTGAAGTACCTGCTGTGCACGCAAGGTGGGGGCACGCGTGTAATCCCAGCACTGGGAGGCAGAGATGGGCGCATCCCTGGGGCTCTCTAGTCTTCCAACCCAGATGAATTGGTGAGTTCTAGATCAATGAGAGATCCTGTCTCAAAAGGCAAGGTGGACGGTGTCCTAAGGAAGGACACCTGAGGTTGACATCTGGCCTCCGCTTTCAGGCGGGGGGGATATATGGGTCCTTCCCCCCAAGACTGGATCTAGAATTAAAATGTGTGTTAAGGCTTCCCCTGAGACGGGGCTGGTTTGGGAACCCGTAGCTTAATTTCTCCCAACTACTGAGAATTTGGCTGATCAGGTTCAAGCCCAGTTCTCGAAGGAAACTAGAAATGTTTTTGCTGATGGCTTTGTGCCCAGGAGAAGTTCTCTCTCCCCGCAAAGCTGGATATCATGTCTCCCCAACTCTAGCTACAAGAGTCACTGAGTCCCCAAGTCACTGCTGGGCATAAAATCCTCTGTGGCCTAATACTGTTCAAGCTCCTTCCCAGGTCACATGATGGTGAACTCTTCCCAGGAGCCTCGTTCTTTTTCTTTCAAATAGGAACATTTTTGTGTATTATATCTCAACTCCAGTTCTTCATCCCATTTCTTACAGCACGAAATGTCTGCGCATACATGTTGTATGTGCATGGGCCTGTAGGGGCCAGAGGAAGATGCTGGGTGTTGCTCGCCATCACCCTCCACCCTCTTCCTTTGAGACAGAGTCTCTTGCTGAGCATGGAGTTTCCCATTTTTGGCTTAACTGGCAGCCAGCAAGCCCCAGTGAACCCTCTGTCTCTGCTCTATTAGCCCCATTGTTGTTACAGGCAGGCATGTCCACGTCTGGCTTTTTAGATGGCTGCTAGACTGGTCCTCAGGGCTACCCGGCAAGCACCCTTACCCATGGAAGCAACTCCCAGCTCCTTAGTAGTTTTTTTAAAGCATGTACTTGGCTTTTTAAATTGTGATAAAATAAAGGTATACTTATTTATATGCTTACTGACATGTTTGATTTTATTTTTCAATATAATATTTTTCTTTGAGAATTTCATACCTCTGTGTAATATATTTTGGTCATATCTACTCCCACTCATGCTCCTCCTGGGCTCCCCCGTATGTCCTCCTCCCAATTTCAAATCTTCCCCCTCTTCTTTTTTAACCCTCTGAGTCCAGTCAGTGCTGCCCCAAAGCTCACGGGTATGGGGCATCCACTCAAGCGTGGGCTGCCTAGCCGAGGCCACACCCCCTAAGAAAACTCGCTCTCCCTCCCCCAGCAGCCAGCAACAGACCCTCGCCTAGGAGAGGAGCCTTGCGAGTTTCCCTCCCCACTCATGTTGAAACTCTGGCTCGATCTGTGCAGATAACCCACTCCCGCTGCGAGGTTGAGGACAGTGGCCGCGTCATATCCAGAAGAGAACATTTTCCTATACTCCTCCACAGTCGCCGGCTCTCACATTCTTGCCGCCCCCTCTTTCATCTTGTTCCTTAAGCTTTGTGTGTATGTGTGTGTGTGTGAATGTGAGTGTGTGTGTGCTACGAGTGTCTCATTCAGGGATGAACACACACAGCCACTTATTCTCAGCACATTGAGCAGTTAGGACTCTCTGCATTACTACAAGAAAACAGCTTCTCCCACGACAGATAAAAACACTACTCTATGGTAGAAACATACACACAAGCACAGAAGGCAGTTCAACAATGCGACCACTTAATCAAACAACAGAAGGTTCCCCGGAGGGTCTATGACTTCTGGGGTCCATGGGCTTCTGACTAGATTTACAGTGCCAAACAATGCATTCTCCCCTGTAGAGCATGCCTTAAATATGATCAGAAACCACGGTTGGTTACCATCCCTCCAAAAAGGTCATGCTACTATTGCATCAATGGGATCACCTGGCCGGGCAGGTTGGTATTTTAGTATGCGGAGTCCGGGGTACTTTTTGGACTTGGTCTCCTGCCTCGGACTCCCAAGTTGTTGGAATTATAAGCATGAACCACCATGCCCCATTAAAGATGTGATGCTTAAAGCAATGCTTCCTGATCCTGAGTAGCAAGTGTGGTTGTTGCTTTGTTTATATAATATGTTACATGTCCTCTAGTTGATATTCAGGACCTCTCCAGGTGTGTGTGTGTGTGTGTGTGTGTGTGTGTGTGTGTGTGTGTGTGAGAGAGAGAGAGAGAGAGAGAGAGAGGGAGAGAGAGAATTCTGATGTGCTATTAACTGCATTTGCTTGCTTTTTCTTGCACACCTCAGACACGTTCAATCACTGAGCTATATTCCCAGCTCTCTTTTTAATTTCTTATTTTATGAGTGTCTTATAAGTTGTTTTACGAAATTTTATAAAAGTTTCCTATAAAATTATAAAGAAATTATTATTTCTTATTTTAATTTCTTAAGACAATGTCACACTAAATTGCCCAGGCTACCTTTGAACTCACTCTGTAGTTCAGACAGGTCTCAAAATCGCCATCCTGTCTCAGGCTTTTGGTACGTGGGTCACAGGCCTGCCTTATCAAGAGGATGATTGTACTGAGGATGAACCTAAAGACTTGAGGTTGTTTTTTCTGTTGTTACTGTAATAAATACCAGAGGTAACTAACTTTACAACTGAAGTGTTTATTTAGGGTCACAGTTTTGTAGGCATTAGTTCTTGCTTGCTTGACCCTGTTCTTTGCGTCTGTAGCCCATCATGGTAGCAGTGCTCAGGGAAGAAACCGTTTACCTCACGGTGACAGGGAAACAGAGAGAAAGAGGAAGAAGAGTGGAATTCTACAATCCTCTTCAATGACAAGCCTCCAGTGATCCAGCTTCCTCCAACAGGCCTCACCTTTGAAAAGTCCTAAAATGTCCTAATAGCACCACAGGCTGGGATAAGCCTGGGCCTCTGGGTGGGCATTTTAAGTCCAAACTATCGCAAGTTTCTCCATTGACTACCTTCATTTTTTCATTTAAAAAGGCGAACTGTTAGCTAGGCATGGCAGTACACACTTGGAAAGCTGAAACTACAGATGACTTCAAGTTCAAAGCAGCCTAAGATATAGGAGGAGACCCATCTCAAAGACACAAACCAGGGTCTGAAGTGATGGCTTAGTGGTTAAGAGCACTTGTGCCGGCAGAGGACCTGAGTTCCGGTCGATGTGGCTCACAGCCATCTCTAACTCCAGGTTGAAGGTTGCCAGAAAATGGTTTGCTTGCAAGGATTAAGCACATTAGTGAGTAACTCTAAGTCACCAACAAAGTATCAGGAACGCATTAATGAAAGAAACAAAAGAGCTTCCCCTTGGAGTCATGTAACCAAGAATGAGTACTGAGTTAAATTCCCTTTTCTTGATCTCTGTATCTCCCATCTCCTGTCTGTTGCGTGAGTCTGATCTGTGTCTGCCTGAGGACTGACTTGTGAATCTGTCCCTGCATCTGCTGTGTGTCTGTTCCTAACAAAGTGCTTCATTCGGTCTTGCTTTTATGCCTGAAACAGGGCTTCTCTGTCTAGCCCTGGTTGTCCTGGAACTACAGAACTCCCTCTGTAGACCAGGCTATCCTCTGACTCAAAGATCTGCCTGCCTCTGCCTCTCAAGTACTGGGATTAAAGGTGTGTGCCACCATTCCCTGCTAGCAGACTTAAGTCTTAAGTGACTTCAGGGTGTATTATTAGTTCAGTTGTGAGATTCAGCAAAAGTTCCAGTCTCTTAGAATATAAGAGATGTCTTCCTCATACTGGATCACCACATTTTCTCTCCTTGGCAGGCACCAGGAATGCATGTGGTACACACATACACACAGGCAAGAATTTCATACACATAAAATAAATAAATCTAAAAGAATTTAATGAAATGAAGCAACAGTTTGCAATGTTAGATGGGAGACATGGCACATGCCTATAATTTCAGCTCTCAGGGGGCTGAGGAGGGAAGACTGAAATTTAGGTCAGTCTGAGCTACACAGTGAGTTTGAGGCCAACCTAAGTTACATCATGAAGCTGTCTCAAAAAATGTAATATTTTGGGAAGATAAATATATCTCTCAGGGGCTGGCGAGATGGCTCAGAGGATCAGAGCAATGGCTGCTCTTCCAGAGGTCCTAAGTTCGATTCCCAGCATCCACATGGTGACTCACAACCATCTGTAACGAGATCTGGTGCCCTCTTCTGGCCCACAGGGATACATGCAGGCAGAATATCATAAATATATATATATATGTATCTATATATATAAATAAATTAATATATATCTCAAAAATTTCAATGGAAATCACCTATGGATAAACACTCTAGGTAGAAAATAGTTATTGAAGAATTATTGCTCAGTAGGAATAATGACTCTAGAATACCCCATGAATTTTCATACCTCTGCCTTTTTTTTTACACATTCTCATGTAGCCCAGGTTAGCCTCAAGTTCTTTTTTTAATTTTCATTTATTTATATTCAATGTATGAGTGCTCTGTATGTACGCCTGCACATCAGAAGAGGACATTAGAATCTATTATAGACGGTTGTGAGCCACCATGTGGTTGCTGGGAATTGAACTCAGGACCTCTGGAAGAGCAGTCAGTGCTCTTAACTACTGAGCCATCTCTCTAGCCCTCGAATTCTTA